GCAATTTTGGAAGGGGATTTCAGGCACTACAGAAGAAATGGACCATAATGGACCCACCCCCAGCACCACCCAACAACCGTTGTTCTTAGTTTTGTGGAAGCGCTGCCGTCAGTTTGAAGGCACTTATGTAAAAATGCAACTCTTTGGCCTTCGCCATTTCAGTCAGAACCGTTCAACTGATCGGTACTCAAATGGCCCAACAGAACCATGTCGAGAGTTACCAAGGAGCGGTCTTTTGTTTGTGGTTGGGATTATTCCTTAAGCTTCACATGCCCGGGTTTTGAGCAAGTGGCTCGTTTGCCTATTGCTTTTGGAATAGAATAATGCTGGGAAATTGCAAATCACATCAGTTGCTTAGAAAAGCGAACCCAGGCAACCTATGTACATAGCTCTTGTTCGTTTGGCCCCTATGTTTAATCAATTTAGAAGGCTATATAACTCCAGTTAAGAGAACCTGGAAAAAATGCTTCGGAACAGGGTTTCCTACAAAGTAAGGAAAGCAAGCTCACTGGGGCTGCACTTCCCGGAGAAGGTCGAGAAGGACGTTTGCAGGTTTCAGGGAAAATGCTGAAGCTGCTCACAAAAGGTCTCTCTGGCGCAATTTGGTCAAAAGACCCGTCAGGCCAAAATGTGCGAAATTGCTATTCGCGTTTGTTCTTTTGGGCAAGATTAAACCACTTTGTTCAACTACCCCCTTACAATGTTGGTTAATACCTTCGTCACTCAGCTCATGAATCCAATTGAACCGGTTTAGGATGAAACGATTCGTCAGTATGTAGTAGAAGCCCTGCGCAATTTGCACACGGTAGCCAGGTTGGAATCTGCCAAGCGGTATTCATTCATCCCAAACCCTTGGGGTTTGCCATACTCGGAATGATCTGACCCATTTGTCAGTTTTGTACTGACTTAGCCATAGCCTTTCTTGCTGCAACCACACACTTCCCTTGTCCATGTAGATGCATCTGAAGAAAGTTGACAGGCCCAGGGAACTCTTGCATACCTCAAAGGAGGAACGGCTGAATATCCCTGCTGCCATCGAGATCGCCCCAAGCGATGACTGTGCCATCTTCCAGGAGGGCAGCAAAGGCATCGACTGAGGATTGAATCTCCTGCACCTTTCTCAGCTGATTTTGGACAGCACTGCTGCAAGCACCAAAGTGAGGATCACCCCAACTAACAGCCGTCCCACCTGCCAGGATTGCAGCAAACGCAAGAACTTGTAGATTGAATCTGCTGCATGTTGAGCACTGCTGAGAGCAGTGCAACGCTTACCCCAGGTGATGGCTGCCACATCTGCCAGAACAGCAGCAAAGGCATCGTCTGTGGCTTGAATCTGCTGCACCTTTCTCAGCTTGTGTTTGACAGCACTGCTGTTGCCACCATAGCAATGAATCCCCCAAGTGACGACGGACGCATCTGCCAGGATTGCAGCGAAAGCAGCACTTGTGGATTGAATCTGCTGCACGTTTCTCAGCTGATTTTGGACAGCACTGCTGTCACCACCGCTGTCAGGATTGTCCCAAGTGATGACTGCCCCGTCTGCCAGGATGGCAGCAAAAGCATCAGATGTGGATTGAATCCGCTGCAGCTTCCTCAGCTGATCTTGGACCGCACTGCCGCTGTCAGGATTGCCCCAAGTAACGACTGCCCCGTCTGCCTGAATGGCAACAAAAGCACCACTACTCGTGGATTGAATCTGCTGCACGTTTCTCAGCTCATCTCGGACAGCACTGCTGTCACCACCGCTGTCAGGCTTGCCCCAAGTGATGACTGCCCCATCTTCCAGGATGGCAGCAAAAGCATCAAATGTGGATTGAATCCGCTGCACGTTTCTCAGCTGATCTCGGACAGCACTGCTATCGCCACCGCTGCCGGGATTGCCCCAAGTGACGACTGCCCCGTCTGCCTCAATGGCAGCAAAAGCATCAGATGTGGATTGAATCTGCTGCGTGCTTCTCAGCTCATTCTGAACAGCACTGCTGTCACCACCGCTGTCAGGCTTGCCCCAAGTGGCCAGCCTGTCCCCACCATGACAGAAGAGAGTGAACGCCCTGGCTGTTGTAGCGATCTGAGGTTGTTGTCAAACTGCGCTGAGGCTGTCTCCATCTCGAAGTCCAGACTCTGTCACGCTTTGGTTCATTTGTAAAATCTCACCATCTGGAGAAACAAGCCTCAAGACGCCTTTTCCCAGAGCCTTCCACGCAGCAACTTGAAGGTCTGCAATCGTCGAGGTGTTGCGGACGGAAACGGCTGTGCTCGTACCATTTGGGCTCACAGTGAGATCAACGGCATCCTCCTTAATCATGCGCCTGTGTTTTCGCGCAGCCTTGAACAAAACGCAAAGCTCACTTGCCCCTTTGGGACCTGGACATACTGTGGATGGACAAAAACCACCTAAGAAACCATGGGAAACCACTGTTTGTTGGTATTTATGGGGGAATCAGAGTGGAGCGAACCGGATTTCGTCCATCCACGGTATGGGTGTGAATTTTCATAAGGGGCCCTCTGATGCACATCAAACTTCGGTGGGGATTTATGTTTAACCAACCATTTGGGAGGGGGGGAAAACTTTTCAGTCAGAATGCCAGAGACAAAGGTTCACCTTGCAGAACCTTGACATGTTCGTGGACTAGGTCCTCCAGTAGTTGGACCACCGCCCACAGACGCCCGTGGCACGAAGTCCATTTTTTTTGTGGTTGATTGTTGTTTTGTTGGGGTTGGGGGGTGGGGGGGTGGGGGGGATGATTGCGTCACTTCGTCGATTTTGCTTGACAAGAACTTCACCCTTTGCTGTTTTTTGCGGGGTGTGTGGTGCGCGTGTGTGTGTGTGTGTGGAAGACTGGCGAGACATCTTGAATTCTTTGTTTGTGTGCTGGGCTGTCTTGTTTTGCTGTAGCTCCTTGTGCGCAAACCATGGTGTCAGAAGGATTACGTTCTTCTGGCCCTTGCCTTGATCATCTTGCTGCGTTTAGCTGGCGTCTCGCATTGCTTCTCACACACTCGGTGCTGGGTCCTTTCTTCGCTGTCTGGCTGCCTTACTTGGGCTCTTCTGGACGTTTCGTGCCAACCAGCAGACCCCATCTTGTCCTTTGTGTCTGCCGTCACGGTGTGCCAACGTAGGTTTCCGTTTGACTTTTCGGCTTTATGCGCTTACGTTCCTTTATTGTGGTCTGGCGTCCGGCCTGGGATCGTCATCTGCTGCTTCCTTGCTTCGCTTCCATCGGTGTGGCTTCTGCTTGTTGGGTCTTGTCTCGTCGGTTTTTGAAAAGAGACGCCATCACGCGGTTCGCACGCAACATGCGGTCTCTAGCATGGCAACATGCTTGACAGACGATGCTGACTTATCAAGAGCCTTTGTGTTGCCTGCAACCGAAAAACAGACAAAGGTTTGGGGCGCTAACTTTTGGGTGAACAACATAATATGGACCCTCCCCCCGTCGGGCTTTTGAAAAGAGAACTCATCGTGCGGTTCCCAGGCAACGTGCGATCTCCAACATAGCAAAATTCTTGACGGACGATAGTTGGGGGCTGAAAAACGGAGCTTTTGAAAGCAGCGTGCCAGTGGGATTTGGGAGCGCAAGATAGCGCAATAAATTCCCCACTGGCTCGGCGCATTTCCACGAACAGACAGTGCTCTCCTTTCCCCCCTGTAATCGCAGCTTAGACAGGTTGCTCCGAAGCAAAAAAACGCACGACATTACACGGGCAACTACGGGCGGTGTACCTAGTTTGAGGTTAGAATGAGGGTACCAACGTTTTTATTTCTTGTCTATTTCAGTAGGTGAACCCTCCCAACCAAAAAGAAACGGTAAAAAGGGCTGGGGGACCTAGTTAACCTTGGGGTCATTACCCAGAATAAAAGGGGTCATTCACCAATGGAAGTAGATCCGGGGGCAACATGACCCTTTCAGAACCTTGGCATGTTACATGGACGATCAGTTGACAACCCGTCAAGGTGAGATCCGCTCGATTCGCTGTGGCAAAAAAACGCCGAATCGGTTTCAGGTACGTTCCGGCAACCGGGGAGAACCGGGGAGACGTCATGTAAGACATAAGTAGAACAGCCTGCTATAACTTGGTTGAAAAAGCAATAATAAGAAAATTAGCAGTTCAGTGGATTTGGATTTCAGCCACTAAACCACAATAAGCAAACATGTAAAATGTTTCCCAACAACAACCATGATAACGGGAACTGCAAACAAATGTGGCTATGAGCATAGGTGGCCGTTTGGAAAAATAGATGGCCCTGGTAAATCGAATAACCCCCATCTAAACCAGGGCCCTCTATTTGTTTGAGCAAACCAACCAAAAAGGACACCTATGGCTATGAGTTTGAGGTGGTTTAGTTTGCTGTAGGTGTACGGTTTCTCTTTTGAAGAAGCCCAGATTGCAAATCCACTGAGTTGGTTTGACAACATCACCTCCAGTCTGATTTATCCAAACACCGGCGGTGGACACATGATGGATTGGAATCCTTGCCAAATGCAAAGGAATTTGCCATTGGGCAATCTTTAAGATCATAACCATAGCTCTTTTGGGTGTGGCTTTGCACACCAAACTTGCTCTGTTGAACAGGGATCCTTACATTATACACCTGAATATTGCCTTGTAAATGGTGGTGTCCCTAGATGTTGGTGTTGAAAAAGCAACATGTTTCAAATGAGCAAACTGGAGATCTTTTAAGGAGCCCTGCTCAAATTCAGGACCTTTAGCGGGGCCATGGGAAGAAACACACACCATGTTGAATGATGATTCGTTTCTTCTCCCTGATCAAGTAAGGGGCGACCCTTGTGCCCACTGGGGATTCGAGAGCTGGAGAAACCATCTTATTTGGTGGAGGCCCCAGGAAAAAACACATATTTCATATGTCCAGTTGTGATGAATTCCTTTTAAAACCAACAAGGATATAAAAAGAGGAAAACAAAACAAGGAAAACAAAAACAGCAAATGGAGGAAACACGTGTACCTGCCATGGCGCAGCTGCGATTGCGCAGGTCTTTTCTCGAAACATGCGTTGCTGAAAACAACTGGCTTAGGGACTCGCCTTTCGGAGGCGCCTGCCATTGCAAATGGAGGCGCTAATCTGAGTTGGGAATGGTCACGTTTGCCACTTGCAACCTTTGAAGGCACTTCCTCCAATCCGAGTAACTGAGTCAGGGATGGTCACATTTACCAATGAGCTGCAACCTTCAAAGGCATTTCCTTCAATCTGAGTGACTGAGTTGGGAATGGTCACGTTTGCCAATGAGCTGCAGCCAAAGAAGGCACTTCCTCCAATCCGAGTAACTGAGTCAGGGATGGTCACATTTACCAATGAGCTGCAATCTTCAAAGGCAGAATCGTCAATCACAGTGACAGAGCTGGGAATGGTCACAGTTGTCAATGAGCTGCAACCTTGGAAGGCATTTCCTTCAATCTGAGGCACTGAGTTGGAAATGGTCACGTTTGCCAATGAGCTACACCCAAAGAAGGCACTTCCTTCAATTTTGGTGACTGAGTTGGGACTGGTCACGTTTGCCAATGAGCTGCAACCTTTAAACGCAGAATCCCAAATCACAGTGACAGAGTTGGGAATGGTCACAGTTGCCAACGAGCTGCAACCTCGGAAGGCATTTCCTCCAATCTGAGTGACTGAGTTGGAATGGTCACAGTTGTCAATGAGCTGCAACCGCGGAAGGCATTTAATCTTATCTCAGTCACTGAGTTGGAAATGGTCACGGTTGCCAATGAGCTGCAGTCAAAGAAGGCACTTCCTCCAATCCGAGTAACTGAGTCAGGGATGGTCACATTTACCAATGAGCTGCAACCTTCAAAGGCAGAAGCGCCAATCACAGTGACAGAGTTGGGAATGGTCACAGTTGCCAACAAGCTGCAACCTCGGAAGGCATTTCCTTCAATCTGAGTGACTGAGTTGGGAATGGTCACGTTTGCCAATGAGCTGCAGCCAAAGAAGGCACTTCCTCCAATCCGAGTAACTGAGTCAGGGATGGTCACATTTACCAATGAGCTGCAACCTTCAAAGGCAGAATCGTCAATCACAGTGACAGAGTTGGGAATGGTCACAGTTGCCAACGAGCTGCAACCTCGGAAGGCACTTCCTCCAATCCGAGTAACTGAGTCAGGGATGGTCACATTTACCAATGAGCTGCAACCTTCAAAGGCAGAAGCGCCAATCACAGTGACAGAGTTGGGAATGGTCACAGTTGCCAACAAGCTGCAACCTCGGAAGGCATTTCCTTCAATCTGAGTGACTGAGTTGGGAATGGTCACGTTTGCCAATGAGCTGCAGCCAAAGAAGGCACTTCCTCCAATCCGAGTAACTAAGTCAGGGATGGTCACATTTACCAATGAGCTGCAACCTTCAAAGGCATTTCCTTCAATCTGAGTGACTGAGTTGGGAATGGTCACGTTTGCCAATGAGCTGCAGCCAAAGAAGGCACTTCTTCCAATCCGAGTAACTGAGTCAGGGATGGTCACATTTACCAATGAGCTGCAACCTTCAAAGGCAGAATCGTCAATCACAGTGACAGAGCTGGGAATGGTCACAGTTGTCAATGAGCTGCAACCTTGGAAGGCATTTCCTCCAATCTGAGGCACTGAGTTGGAAATGGTCACGTTTGCCAATGAGCTACACCCAAAGAAGGCACTTCCTTCAATTTTGGTGACTGAGTTGGGACTGGTCACGTTTGCCAATGAGCTGCAACCTTTAAACGCAGAATCCCAAATCACAGTGACAGAGTTGGGAATGGTCACAGTTGCCAACGAGCTGCAACCTCGGAAGGCATTTCCTCCAATCTGAGTGACTGAGTTGGGAATGGTCACAGTTGTCAATGAGCTGCAACCGCGGAAGGCATTTAATCTAATCTCAGTCACTGAGTTGGAAATGGTCACGTTTGCCAATGAGCTGCAGTCAAAGAAGGCACTTCCTCCAATCCGAGTAACTGAGTCAGGGATGGTCACATTTACCAATGAGCTGCAACCTTCAAAGGCAGAAGCGCCAATCACAGTGACAGAGTTGGGAATGGTCACAGTTGCCAACAAGCTGCAACCTCGGAAGGCATTTCCTTCAATCTGAGTGACTGAGTTGGGAATGGTCACGTTTGCCAATGAGCTGCAGCCAAAGAAGGCACTTCCTCCAATCCGAGTAACTGAGTCAGGGATGGTCACATTTACCAATGAGCTGCAACCTTCAAAGGCAGAATCGTCAATCACAGTGACAGAGTTGGGAATGGTCACAGTTGCCAACGAGCTGCAACCTCGGAAGGCACTTCCTCCAATCCGAGTAACTGAGTCAGGGATGGTCACATTTACCAATGAGCTGCAACCTTCAAAGGCAGAAGCGCCAATCACAGTGACAGAGCTGGGAATGGTCACAGTTGCCAACGAGCTGCAACCTCGGAAGGCATTTCCTTCAATCTGAGTGACTGAGTTGGGAATGGTCACGTTTGCCAATGAGCTGCAGCCAAAGAAGGCACTTCCTCCAATCCGAGTAACTGAGTCAGGGATGGTCACATTTACCAATGAGCTGCAACCTTCAAAGGCAGAATCCCAAATCACAGTGACAGAGTTGGGAATGGTCACAGTTGCCAACGAGCTGCAACCTCGGAAGGCACTTCCTCGAATCCGAGTAACTGAGTCAGGGATGGTCACATTTGCCAATGATCTGCAACCTTTGAAGGCACCGGCTTCTATCAAAGTCACGCCTCCCGGAATTTCCACCACACGCAAATCTTCAGGCTCAATGCTGGAGGTTTCGCGGCTTGAGCACGTGACCGGCTTGATGCTCAGGAAAGCCAAAACTTCTGCCCCTGGGATTGCCTTGGACGCCATCTCATCGGCATTCACTAGGGGCCTGTCTCCAAGAACCAGCTCCACCGAGCTCATGTTGCGCTTTGATTCGTCTGCGCAGCGCAGCCACCCGTGTAGCTGCCTTTTCAGCTCACGGACAGTCATGTCCGGAACTAAGATGAATGACTTTGTCTCCCCAGACAGCTGTCGAATCGTAATCTCGTTTGCCATGGCAGATTTACTCATGTCCACGCTGATTGAAGCGACGTTCTGGTAAACTTGCTTTGAGCCTGCTGCGTTCCGGCTTGTTGTCTAGGTATGTGTTGGCAACGATGTTTGGGATGTGGGTGCTTGGGCTGGCTGGGTGCGTGACTTCAGGGCAGCTTCGAACCATGCGTTGCAACAGCTAGCCCAACTGCAGTCCCGAAGTAGCAGTGGCAACTGGCAAAAATGGCGAGTTTTCTTGCCTGCCCAGATGCTCCAATTTGATTCATTTAAGGCCCTCAAACAGCCAGGTTTTGAGACCAACACCTCCGTGTCCAATGGAGGGGTCGGGTCTTCCGTTGAACGCCGAAGCCGATTGGAGCCGGGTGACGTGAGTCACAATCAAAACCCGGTATTGAAATGGTCCAAGCCCAGAACCATGTAAAGAATGAAGAAGGCGGATATCCGCAACGATCTCTGGCAAGGGGACTGCCCCTTAGTAACCTTCATCTAGGTCCTCCAGTAGAGAGGTTAGAAGAGGGGCACCCACTTTTTTCCGTAGTCTGCTTTAGTAGGGGCACCCTCACCCAAAAAGAAACGGAAGTAAAGCTTGGCAGGTGCTGGGAATGGCTCAATCCCCGAATCGGTTTGGAGCGAGCCCGTGGCTCGACCCGAACCCTTGCAGACCAAGAACTGGAAGGGATCACATGGCTCCAACTTAAACAGGGAAAAAGACCGCAGAGAAATGGTTCACACGTCCTATGGGTAAAATTTTGGGTTTGCTTATTTGAAAAGAAGCCTCGAAAGCAAAGTAGAGTAGCCTACCACACGTGGCAGTGCAGAAAGTCATCTTGAAAGACTACGTGGTGCACCGAACACGAAATAGTCAGGCTGTGGCCGCCTCGTTCCCGCGAGCACGTTCACAAGTCACATGGTCACGTTTTGGGGATCTAGAACTTCATCATCGACTGTACAGCCAAACCCGCTGGCAAAAAGGACTTGCCCGCTCTTGATTGCCCGAAACAGGCAGAGCCCGCAAAAGGTGAAACCTGCGTGAACAGGACAAGGGATACCCAGCCCCCAAAAGTTGATGAGTGGATAGGCCTGATCAAACTTGACAGTTCGGTTGCCCGGGTCCAATCGGGAAAAGCCCCCGGTGCCCGAATGCTACGCCCGAGTTGCCTTCAACGGGTGTCAAAAGGACCGGTTCGGGGAGTTCCCCAAATTCCATCCATCGGACCCGGGTGAGACATCTCCCCAAGAAACTCACTTGAGTGGCCAACAAAACTCCATTCTTTGTGTTTACCGCCAATATGGTCTACGCAAACAGTTTAAAGTCTAGGAACTTGAGTGAGGAAAGTCGAGTCAGCCGCAGATCCGCTTGCTCGCTTGAACCCTTCCTCGGTGACAGGGTGGGGCGAACGGGCAAGATCGCCACACACTCCCCGCCCAAACGAAAAACAACAACCACGGTAAAAAAATGAGCACACAGACCACCTTGCTTACCCAACAAGAGTATGTTTGTGCTTCTATGTTCCTAAGCACATCATGAATGGATTCACGAACCTGCAGAAGACCTTCATAAAGTGTTCCGTCTCCTGAACCCCCACTTAAAGGGGCGATCGGGTACTTACATCAGAAGGACAAAAGTTTATGCCTCTTGATGGTTTCTGCAAAGCCGTGTGGATCATCCGCGGATCGAATTTCCAACTCCTTTTCATGTGGCAGGAGTGGGACGGTCGATTATCACCCTCTTTTAAATTTAAAATACTTTAGAGGCTTTGGAGTGTGACAATTCGACCGCGAATGACCCAGAAACAGCTTGCAGGATTCTAGGGGGAAAGGGTTGCTTTTTCTGAGAAGGCCCAAGAGGCACAACTTTTGTCTTGGTGGTGTAGTAGGTGATGAGTGAGCTTGGCTATAAGCCACTTAGGAGACTTATAACCATGGCAAGTGGATTATAACCAGGCTTACTAACCACTTACTAAGTACCCCATCGCCCTTTTAAGCAGAGCTCTTGATCGCTTCAGGCAGCCTGTCGTCCTCTCCTCTTTCGAGCCTCTTCAGGGCCCCAACTAGGTCCAGTAGAGAGGCTAGAAGAAGGGTGCCCGATGAATTTTCTGTAGTCTATTTTAGTAGGGGGAAGCCTCCCAACCAAAAAAAGAAACCGTAAAAGTTGGCACCTAGCTGGGGGACCTAGTCAAACTCATCCCAAAAAAACAAGTCATCGGTGTATCTTCTGCTCGGGAACCGATGAGAAACCGAATGTCTTTTTCAAGAACATCAGGCCATGCTTATCCCCCGATGAGAAAATCGGACCATGGTTTTCGGGACAAGTGTTCGGGACCATAAACTGGCAATGGGTCAAAACCCCGTACCCGGTGAACATCCCAATACCCACTAAAATAGATTCTGAAATGGGTGGTGAATTCACCAACCAACCAAAATGGGATACCAAAACGGTTTTGACCCACGGCCAAATGGCAACAATGTCCCTTTGCTTTCTTCCTGGAGTCTCCCTAAGGACCCTTGAAAAATGGTTGGTCATTGCCCAAAATAATTTTGGGTCAAGGGGGCCCATTTTCAAAGGGTCCTTAGGGAGACTCCAGGTACAAAGCGCCAACTCCCTCAACCCCCCAACCTCCCAACCCCCAACCCCCAGCCAAGGAACGAAACACCACTCGCTTGGTCAGGAGATTCCAGGTTCTCGATCAACCATCCACCGCGCGCGGCGCGCGTCCGGTAATTACCGCGCGGTCCGGCACCGCGCCTCGTGCAAGCTGCCGATGTACTGCTGGGCTTCCTCGAGGTCATGTGTGCGCCACCACCTAAGCGTCCAGAGTCTCTGCCCGGAAAAAGGCGATCACCTGTTGCTGCCTTTACTACATATGGGCCATCAAAACCCGGGTAGATGAAGGTTAGTAAGGGATAATCCCAACCAGAAATAGCTGCGGAAATCCGCCTTCTAGATTCTTGACATGGCTGTGGGTCAAACATAGGTATCCTAAATGGGTTGCCCTGGTACATGGAACCAAGGACTAAAACCTGCGGTCCATATCCTGGTGGTTTAATTTTGACCCGTACCCATATGGACCAACAAGGGAAAAGCAACAGGTCAGAAGGTCGGCTTTGGGCGAGTGAGTAGTCCTTGTGCGCCTTTGTGCCTTTGTGCCTCTGTGTCTTTGCGTCTCTGTGTGTTTGTGTGTTTGCCTGTCCGCATCTCTGTGTCTGTGTGTGTTTTTTTATCTGCTTGTCTGCTCTTTAACGTTTAGTGGGGGCTGCAAAGATACGAATTTGGTCTTTCGTGAGTGACCCGGTGGTTGACTCGACTCCCTGAGTGCAGGTGTGAAGTTATCCAGGGCCGAGATCACCCTCAAAGGGCTGGTGTTGCATCTTCAAAAAAAACAGACACACATTGCCACGGCCGACGTTTAACTAGTATGATGAATAGTCTACACGTGCCAGACTCAGTTGGCAAAACCTGATATGGGCCAGTTGAGAACAACTCGACACCCAGTCTTTTTCAGCGGTTTCTGATGGGTTGACTTGCTTACCATTTCAGAAATTCGCCGGTACTCGAAGAACCATTCTCCTGTTGCTATCTTCCTTTCAGTGGCACTTTGTTGCCCAAGATTGGACCTTTTGTTTGAACTGTTTCTTGGTTGCTGTTGACCAGCCTTCAAAAAGTTTAACTTTTTGGGGGGTTTAGTGGAAAACCCCTTGATTTCGCAAAAGGCTAAAGTCTAAAGATCCAACCCAATAGAAGTCGAGGTTTCCATGACATTGCCGCCTTTCAAAGTCGAGAGGTTGATGCCCCATGCCCATCATTATTTTCAGAAACCCCCTAGATTTGCGGGGTCTTGGCATTTTCCGAAAGGGAGCAAAGGAATTGCTGCTAGAAAAGATTCCAAGCGGATACCAACATAGCAGTAATGCACCCATCATGTTGGGATATGTGTTTTTTTTTGTTTTTACTGCTTGAAGGGGCATGGAGAAGCGAGGTACTCCTCACTCGCCGAAAGTCCACCTTCTAACCTTTAAAATTCCCTGTTTGGTCCAGTTTTAGTACAAGGACGCACAGCGACACCAACAAAAGACACCAATCAACCAACCAGCCAACCAGCCAAACAACCAAACAACCAAACCAAACCAAACCAAACCAAACCAGACCAGACCAAACCAAACCAAACCAAACCAAACCAGCAAGCAAGCAAGCAAGCAAGCAAGCAAGCAAGCAAGCAAGCAAGCAAACAAAGAAGAAGCAAACAAAACACAATCAAACAAAGAACCAACCAAACAAGCACACCATCAAAGAAACAAGCAAACAGCAAACACAAAGAAGAGAACGCTTCTGGGGCGTTCTGCAGGCCAAAAACCGCCTTCCCGCCAAAATCGCACTGAGGCAAGGGCAGGTGGGCGGCCGCAGTGGTGATTCGATCCTGCAGAAAACCACCAGGGTCCGTAGAGCCCTTCTGGAGTCTCTTCAAAAGTGGGAGGGCACCCCGCCAAATGGGTGGTTTTGTGGACTTCCCTGCAAAACTGCCCCACATTGGGGGTACCACTCCCAACCACTTTGGGGATGGAATCGCAGATTTTCTATGGCGGATCTGCTTCGTTCTTGTTGGCGGCTTGGAAGTTCAACACTCAGTAAGTAGGCTACAACCGTGGGTGTAGCCCACCCCCCGCTTTCCGCCGCCCTAGGGAATCTGGGACCCCCTGGCGCGCAAACGGTTGAGGCCCTTTGGGTGTTTCTCGAAGCTGGGGTGGTGCTGGGCTTCTTTCTTGAAGCCATCCCAAACGGGAAGCAACACCCAAATAACTCTAGATTCACCCACAGCTAGGGGTTTGTAGGCCGGGACAAATCAGGGCCGAACCATTTCTAGGTCCAGTAGAGAGCTTAGAATAAGGATACCCTTTTTTCTATTGTCTATTTTAGTAGGGGAACCCTCCCCCAAAAAAGGGTAACAGGGCACCACCGGGCGACCCAGATTTGGGACGGGTGGGGGGGGGTAGGAAACCTGAGCCCAACAGGGTCCCTAGACACGCGGAATGGAACAGGGGCTATTTCCTGCGGACGTCGAGGTGCTTTGGGG